TTCAAGTTAAAACACCATAACTGACTTGATAAAAAAATCTTCACACAGAGCAGTTTTGATTAACCGGTCATAGTGGCATATATGAACGCTTGAAATGTTAGAAATGCAGATAAACCTCGAAAAAGTGTTTAGAAATACTTAAGAATGATTGGGTCACAGACAGGAACCATTCTTAATAAATACAAAATAACTTGAAGGAAGAAAGTCTTGTAGCTTATATAATGGATTCTAAACTGTGACTTTTAGAGAAGAAGAAAAACCCAGACTTTGCAAAGTAAAGATCATGTTATCATGGAATCATCGGGGATATAACTTCTGTGGAACGCATCTATCCAATACAACCTAACACTAAGAAAGACTCGTTTTCACTATCTAACTTAAAAACCCTTTGGAGTTTGGGTAATGAATTAATGGTGCATCTGCCCTCTGTTTTTATAAGTTTTGTTAAAATGAAATAATCCTGATAACTATTAAAATTGCATCCCAATTTATACTTGGTTACTCGTGCTGGGTTCATCGTGATTTCTCTAATGATTATGCTCTATAGTTCTGGACTGGTTTGCATGAGCATTTCAATGTATCTTGGTTCCTAAATGATTGTTCGAGGGTCGAGTTCATACAAATTTAAAAAGGTATGCCTGTACAAAGACAATAAACTTCGTCAGTTTTGTCCTTACTACGGCCAATTTCTGAATTTGGTGTTGGATGGCGTATTTTTGGACATCTCTAATGAATTCATGATCAACGTATATGTCTGGGTTTGCCGTATGTGCATCAAAACACAAAGAGGATAAAGTAATAAGAATTTGTAAAGACTGTTGCGAGTTACGACTATCAATTGACGTTTGCCAGCCGTGAAATTTTTATGATGATCTTTTCATGTTTGTTTCTGTGTATGTGTGTTGTTGGGTTACTGTCTCATATACGTTTATCCCACGGATCATTTCATCGTATGTACAATAACATGCTTCTTTTGATATGTTTGAAAAGAATCGTATTTCTCCTCCATTTAACACATTTGCCAAAAATAAATATCCATTCATATGAAACTTCATCACGAATTGCATTGAATTGCTTTTTAAATGTTTGTGTATTGATCAATATTGGGTGCAAACATTATTTACTGATTTTATATTCAGATAGGTCAGCTGAGCTTGAAATTTAAATGGGAAATATTTTACCTATTATACACCGAGACCATTTAAAATTTAAACATTTTCTCAAACGTGTCTCGACGGCCACTTCTATAGATCGATTGAAATCCCGTTAGATCCATTATACTTAGGTTGGTTTTCATACTAATATGTACCGAATAGGTATATTTAAAAATTTATTGACTTAATTCCATGTTTAAATATTTGTAACCAATAAGCACACACAGAGATATATACAATATACGTGTGCTCGTAAGACCATTTTATGTCCTGAACATAAATTTAGATTTATCCTGAATTGTTAAAATGTCAAAAACGAGGGAGGTGGTATTTATAAATCAATCTGGTATTCAGTAAAGATGAGAGGATTTGCATTCATTAGAAGGTGATTGATATGCAGCATTATTTGAAATTCGCTGAATTGTTTTAATATTCTTCTTATCATATATTTTTCTTATTAATTTATTGACTAAACAGTCGAGTCACAGTCTTGAATGTTTCAACTCTTTGTATATATATATCGATTCCTAACATCACTGAAGAGACATTAATTGTCGAAATTCGGATATGGTGTACAAATTTTTGCATCTCATGTTTGCGGTATATATACCATCTTTTCCGCAAGTTTATTGTTTTCTGTTTGGTATTAAATTAATTATAAAGATCCATTTTGTTACATCTTGTGATCCGTTTATTTGGCAATCGCCAATGGCAGTCAGCAGGGTTTAAGAACATCCGTTGTTCGACCTGTTAGTCAAATGCGTTTTGTTTAAATATACTTTTTCACTTTTTTAGTCTTTTGGAAAATGTTGTTTGTGCTGTATTTAGAGTCCTCTACCAAGAAATTTGTTTTGCATGCACACGTATAAAAATTACGGTTTTTATCCAACGCAATCATAGGTTTGAATGTTGTTTTCAATTTAGACATATATATATATATATATATAAATGAAGCAATTAACGAACTGATTTTGGGCATATTATATTGATGTTCGTCTGAAAATTGAAAGTAGAGAGTATACTCCGAGAGCTGGTACAACAGGACATATGATTCTTTGAACGTTTGAAAAGACCATATCGACACCTTAAAACTTTGCATTTCTTCAGTTAAAAGTACAAATAAACTGCAACACTGCGTCACAATTGGGAAAATATATACATATTCAAACAGCTTCTTCAAAATTGTAAATGGTTTGAATACCAAGTGGTGTCAATATTTGTATTTTTGAATCAATCGAATACAGGATACGTTGCTAATTTTGTAAGCCGTCAGTAGTACTTGCATAACATATGCAATAACGGCATAGGAAAAGATGCACGATACACGTGTATGTTTCAGAGGGCAGTATAAGTATAAGAGCATATTTCCTAGTTCTGTCGATACACCATTATTCATCTCCAGAATTAGCTAGTGTTATTGTAAAGTTAGATATTCTTTAAAAAAAAACTGAAAATAAACAAGTCGATGTTTGTCTTTCGTTGTGTTACTTGAATCGGTTTGGAATTTTGTAAGTTGAATACATACTTTGTTAATCTGAATGTCATCTAATATGACATGATGTCGCTTTATCTAACATACTTGATGGTAAAAGAGGGATATTCCCTCCAGGTTAAAGACAACAATGGAAACACTTTGTTTTGCTTGAAGTGGGTAAACCAAAAGAATTTTGTACGGGTTGTAAGAGTCGAACAATCGTCCATTGAATATTTGTTGTATTAAGTATCAGAACAACTTGTTACCCGTATCCGGGACATTAGATTTTTTGATGACTCTTCATAGATTAGATATTCGTTGGGGTGAAGTTTATATAGACTTTATAGTGTCTTATCAAATAAACAAACAGAAATCTCTAAATTTAATCGATGTTTGAGATTTAATATTATTTTTAAAATTAAAACAAATTTGTGATAAAAATGTCGAGGATTAGTACGTACGTCTTTATATGGGATCGGTTGTTCCCCCCATTCATTCAAGGATTTATAAATTTCTGACAAAAATATGTACTATATACATTTTTTGAATAACATAGCAGAAATGTATTTGAAAAAAAGGACAGTTCCCTAAAATACATGTAAATTAATAAGTGGGAAGTAAAACTCTAAACATAGACTCTACGGTAGTGTTATGTTGATGATGAAGCAATCGATTGTTTGAATGTTTCTTGGGATATCTTTTCGAAGATAAGACACCAAAAAATATATTCACAGAAAATACTAACATGGCTCATTTTAAAACAGAAATAACTTCACTCTCGACCAAAAGAAATATAATTTTCGTTCAAACATTCTAAGTTCTAAGTTCTTTAATGGAGTGCTACTGTGTGTATTTATTTCAAAGAAGTCTGTACACCACTTTAGATTTCTGTTCATTTAGTTTCTCTCCCATCATTCAATGGTCGTGGCGTTTTGGGTAACGCCTAATGTTTCAATTGGTCTTATTCACTTCAATGAACGTGAGAGCTTAGATTTTGATTTGTTTTCATATGTGCTGTAAACAAAGTTTAAATGTCGTGTTGATTGATTTTGAAATAAATATTTGTCATAACTGCCGACGATCCAACGATCTGACACACGACGAGGGGGGTACAGTAGCATCTGCATATGAGAATTACAATCATCACGAAAAGGAGAACAAATAATACTTAACAAGCCTCAAATCCTAAACAAATACAAAACATTTGCGATGGGAAGAAGACAAATGAATTAGTAAAACAGCTAAAATAAAATCCTATCCGAGATTGACAACAAAAGTACAAATTCTTGACCTCACTCAATACATTTTTCTGATTCATCTGATTATTCATCACCGTTTCCATAAAAAGTGTAAAGCAGCCAACAATCAATTAAAAATGTTTTGTCTAAACTGCAACAAGAAACAAAGATAACAATCAGATATCCAAACAGAAACGAAGCTGTTTCGAACGTTATAAGCCTTTTTTTTTCTTTCTTTCTGGTAGGTTGCTTTACACCTTTTTGGAAACGGTGATACAAGGAAAATACGTGGATTAAATAAGCTAGTTTGTATACAGTTAAAAAACGTTTTTTTCCAACAATTAAAAAGTTAATCTAATAGATGGATGAGCGGACTGTCTTCATAAACCACATTTAGGGCATGTAGCTCAAATAAACTAACTGGTGGTAATACTAAAGTGGAATGAAACACTATTAAATAAATCGTGTACATTGGTGTTATAATCATGGCTCAGTATACATGTATATGTATGTTTAAAAATATGCAGGTTCATATTCATTTTACATCAACATGTGTATGTCCTAAATGTGGTTCATAAAGACCGTCCGCTCATCCATCTACCAAATTAACTTTTTAATTTTTTTTATTTAATCCACGTATTTGCCTTGTATACCTATGATTTAAATTAACGGAATAAAAGTTGGTTAGATATTTTGCAACTAATCGGGTAAGTATTGAACGAATAATACGCTGTGTCAGATGAAAAATTCATGAACTATCGCTTTTTTGCAGGTAACATAGGTACATGAAACAAGTTCAGATCCTTTAATCAATACCGTTCCGAAGAGAGATTTCCATCTTATTAAAGGAATCGATTTGTTTGACAATGTAATCCTTTGATTTGCACCTAAGCGACTGATAAGAAAGTTATTTTAATTTATAGTATAATAAAATAAACATCACATACACAATAGGATAGTAACGTGTATGCAATACGCAGGAATTTATATTTTTACTATTCATTGAATGTGGACATATTGCCAAAGATATAAATTTCGATTTGAAAGGGTCCTTCCTATATTTTGAATAACGATTCGATTTTTATATTCTCCAAACTTGATAAACGCAAATGTCAAAAAGAGAATAATACAGAGTGTCACAATAACAAAAATTTAATATATGCATATGAAACATAGGAAAATATATTCGAAATGATAAAAATATTGTATAAAATCAAAATATATACAAAATGTTTATGTACAAATTTTGCCAACTGGACGGACTGGCACTGGTAAGGGCTAGAGTATACAATACTCCCCACAAAACGATTCATTACAAATATTCTTAAACAGTTAAGTGAAACATGCAAAGCATAAACAAATAAACATGACACATGAGCACACAAGCTGTGAAGTGTTTGAGCAAATGAAATAATACTACATGTAAATCTCCTCGCAACACAACTGATTTAAATCCGTAACCATTTAATTATTTCTACATGACAATTGAGTGTTATTACTCTGAATGTAATTATTGTGAAATATGCACTAGGCAATAAGAGTTTGACTTAACAAAAGAATCACAGTTATTGAAATGCGGAATGGTTTCTTTTCGCCTTCAAGTCAGGTTTATACACTTACACGTGGATTGGCAGGTATTCCTGTTCGGGTATAAAAAGTGTCTGCAACAATTTTTGTACGCCCGTGCTGAGGTTTTTTAATGTCTTCTTTTGGAATGACATCCCCAAGCCGCCAACCGTATTCCCAAGAACTAAGAAGTGGGAAAGAAAACTTATCTTCGGGACTATCTTTGTACCTTGAATGTAGATATTGATATCGTCCTTTTCCTTCCTTTGTAAATCCGTCATATAACTTTTCCTTTACTCTCAAATCCACAGGCCGCATTTCTGCAACGAGTTGCGCAAGTCCTTTTTCTGATTTTTCTGTTTGTAAATCATCAAAGTTCGACTTCTTTTTGTTGAATTGTTGTGGAGCATAATCACCTGAAATTTTGTTGAACATGTCCTCGGCTGGTTTTGGAGCATTTTGTATTTTTCTTCTAGCAACTTCAGACTGTTTTGAGGCACCAATGTTGGCATTAGAATTCTCCCTTAATTTGTAATACCACTGAAGTCTGGTGTCTCTTTCTTTGTTGTAAGACTCTTCCAAAAATTTCTGGACTTGTGTATTGGCAGGATAGTTCCGTGCCATTGCTGTATTTGGTTATTCACTTTCCCAAACTTCCAAAACTAATTTTTACACTTCGCAACACTGTTTGACAACTTACCGGGACACTGCACGAGCGTTTAAGATTCCTATAGCAACCCGGCGTCACAATCTCGCGATAATCTGTGAGAGTTGAAATAAAAACAAATATGGCGCCGAATTGTCCTGAAGAAGTCGATGTTTTCACAATTCCTCATTCTCGAATGAAGGAATTGGTCAAGAAATATCTTAACATGGTAAAAACAAAATCCAAAATACTATCATTGTTTTTGTTGAAAGCATTACTGCTGTCGTTTCTATGAATAAATAACAGAGCGAAAATAATGGTGTACAACTGTTAAAAACAACCACATTTCATCATACTTCTTCTTCTTCTTCTTCCGGTTAGTGGCCACCGTCAACTGGTTGACTATTCTGCCACATTTTGGAGTGAGCGCATGAAATATTTTTGAAATTTAATAAACAAAAAGAGAATGGGTGCAATTTAATGTATATACAGGTGCAACTAAAAACATGGCATTTAAATATAATGTAGGTACGGAAAGTGATTTTTTTAAATTCAACTGATCCAAGAAAACTTTACCTCATTTTAAAGGCATTGTGAAGACATTTTCAAAACAGTTTCACTTTTATCAATACACATAATAACAACGAAGAAATAGCAAATTTTCAAAATGGTAATTTTTCACTAATCTAGAAAAACTGTTTCCTCTCTTTAAAAAATAATAAAATGTGTATTTCTAATCATTTGGGTTATAGACATAGTTTTGTTTATGTTGCTTCTTTTACATCTTGTTAGTCAATTTCAATCCTCCATGTTCAGTTGTTTGGTCAAAATAGAAGCATAAAGCATGAAAATGTCAACCACTCCCATGAAATTCTATCGCCCAAAGTCACATAACATTAATTATGACGATACCTTTATATATTGCACCAAATTCCTGTCGTCAGAACATCAATTGGTATACTGAAAATGAAAAACAAAGCTATATAAACATTTAAATGTAAAGAAACAAAATATAAATATGAAAATTACTCTTTATATACAAATGTATATGTGTGTGTGTACCATGAGACACCAGACAAGTTTCGAAATATGTCATCTGTCTTTATATAGTCATTCACTCATGATAGTTTAGAATGTTCCTTTTCATTAACTTTCTATTTAATGAAATATTCTTATTCTTATATAGTGAATGCTTATAAATAAAAATAAACAACAACCTTCCAACAATTATACTATAGGTCTAAAATACCTGTTGCACTGAAAAACAATGAATAAAATATATAATTATTTTTATTTGAGAAATTTCAAAGAAAATAATTTTGTCAGATCACTGTAAAGACTTGTATGTATAAAAGTAAAGTAAATTAATATCTGTATATTAGTTACAATATTTATACAGTGAAATCTGTCTAAACCAAACTCATTCATGACTGAAGTTCAAAATGCATTGAATCTGAGATGAAGGGACTTCAGAACATGGTTTCTGGTTTATTCAGGGTTTGGTTTATACAGGTTTCACTGTATCAAGCATTAGTTGTTAGTATGACTTGCAGCTTCCCAGATATAATTTTATTTCAGGATATATATTAAATTGCATGGTGTTCACTAGTGTTTTTTTTCTGGCCATGAAATTACTTCAATACTGATCAATACTGAATGTGGGAAGCTCCAAGGTAAAACTTGATGGGTGCACATGTACTCAAAGTAAAGTTTTGGTGTAAACAAGTGTCATGGATTAGTTCATGTATTCCTATACATGATCATGCTGAAATCATATTAGAAAATTGCACTTCCTGTGCAACTCCATGCAGAACGAATCTTGAACAGAACTTCGAACATGGTTTTAGACCTACCACCTCCGGTATTATCTCAAGTTTTTTGGCTCGATAATCCTCCAATAGTCTGTATGTGTAGATAGCTGTAGTGTCCGTTACCTTCCCTTCACTGTCTAATTCATTATCGTATATTAAGTTATAGTAGTCTGGAAATCCGGGTACTGTTGAAATTACTTTGGCAGTGAATGTTCCTTCGTTGAAAGTATGTCTTACTTTTTTCCCAACAAGAATTGGCATCCTAGATGACCTTTGTTGAATATTTTCACTAACATCTTTACTAGCAGCCTCTTCAATGAGCTTTTTAACATTTTCTGTTAGAGCTTCTATACTTAGCGCCTTTCCTTTTACAGATGCATTAAATATTTTCTTATCTTTAACATATTGCTTCAACACATTTTGTCGGAACCTTAACTGCGCGATCAATGCCTTCCGTTTCTCACTTGTTTTGGTTATTGACCTTAGTATGTCATCTGCTACACTTGAACTTTGCCATAATCCATAGAAAATAACTTCTGACGTTTGTTTTTCCTTCTTCTTGAAGCTGTTTTCTTTCTTTTTCCTCACTGCTTCTTGTTTCTTCTTTTTTTCCTCATGAAGTCTCGAATGTTACATAATATATTATATCCATGTGATATCTCATTGTTTTCTAAACTACAATTACACAATTCAGATATATCTGTTAAAATCTCCTTAAAAGTATCTAAAGTTGTGGAGGATGCTTTATTGTGCATTTCCCTCAAACCTAACATGTATACATTTTTATGATCATCACTTACAAAGTAGCTGTTATATGTCTTTCCAAACTTCCGTGTTTCATCAGAATATAATGTTTTTTTTTGTTTGTCTTGCAAACACTGTCCAACCTGAATATTACTTACCACAACCTTTTCTGTTACAATATTATCAATGGTTCTTCGTGCCGGAATTTGCATCAAAGTTTTACCAGCTAATTTCAAACTTTCATTGATAACGGATACTATGTGTTCCGTTGCTACATTCTTACCAGATATATTCATGACGGCTTGTCTAAATTCTGGTGTATATGCACGTAACTTGTCATCCAAAATATCTATTTCTTTATCGTCTTGAATTAAAGAATGAAGGTAATCCCTTGTTTGCATAGAGTCATTTAGGTTTGTTTTAAGGTTACTTACAAGATCTGCATGTTCATTCGACTGTTTTAATGCATCCTTGTACAAACTCTGAATTTTATTCAGTTCACTTTTTAATTTTTTAATTTCATCTGTTTTGCTCTTATTGATATTTTCTATGTCTGTTAAATTCTTCTTTAATTCTTTAGCACATGATTTGTGTTTTACTACACAGGATGATAGTCTTCTGTTTTGAGTTTTTAAATTCTTACAACTATATCTTAACTTTTTAATTTTACTATTTTGCTGTTGTACTTTAGATTTAAGATTTTCACTTGAAGTTTTGTTTTTCATTTTAACTTTCTTTATTTTCCTTTCTTGAAGATCAACAGTTTTTTCTAATTTTCTTTTCAACTGATTTACTTCACTTGACTTCTTTTCCTGATTTATTTGTAATTCATTAGCTAAATCTTCTGCTATTCTTTTATAAGTAGCATCTTCTGTAGACTTGAGATTTTGTAATTTGGAGTCACTTGCACACATATTACATGTATTAAAAATATTTGTTAATAAAGTAGCCTTCTCTAGGCCTCTTTTTCGACTTACTTCTTTTTTCAGTCTGTGCAACCGTGTAACCAAAGTTTTTCTCTATATTGTTTTTTGTTATTTCTGTAAACCACTTACACATTTTGTCTTGATTGATACTTTTTGATTTGACATAATCAAATATATCTAATGTCATTTGTCTGTTTAAAACAATATCAAAGTCTGACAAGCTATGTTTATCCAAGAGTGGAATCAAATTTTTGAAGTCTGTTATCTGAGGCATTTTGTAATTGAGTCTATAAATATTTGTTTTAGTTTAAGGCTTAGAATATACCATCAAACCATTTCTTCAAGTTTTTTAATAAATCACTAGCAATTTGTTCTGCTACTATGCACTTCATTTTTTTCAGTTTTCCATATTTGACAAATTCTGATCTCATGCAGAAATATATAAAGACTATATCTATTTTGTCTGGGTGACATGGCTCGATTACATCACAAATAAGTTCTTCTAAGAAATTTATGATAAAAATGGCTCTTGCATTTGTGCAGTCAATTATTTTGTTTAAGTGGTAAATTAGTTGCTTCTGAAAGAAGTCATTATAGTCATACAAAGCAAGTTCAGTACACATGTTCAAAGCAAGTTTTAGATCATATCTTCTATTCTTACTTACATTTCCAACTTCTCGATTGGATAAATACTGTAAAATGCTCTTATGTTTCATTTTCTTGAGAGTTCTTTTTGGAAATTCCATGAAGATATCTGAAATACAAATACACTAGATGCCAACGCTTGAAATTTCTTAGAATGCCATGATTTAGTATCAGCAAATTAAATGTGTGTAGTATTTAATTAAACTATTGTATTAAGAACATATATGTGGGGAAAATTTTAACAATTCAGTTAATGTGATCACACACTATTTGAATTAATATGACCCTATTTTTCAGACTGTATTGAACAGTAAACGATATTATTTTGAAATGAAAGTTATATTGATATAAGTTATACTATAACTTTCAACTTGGAAAGTGGCAGTCATATAAGAGGGGGGGGGGGGGGTAGGTAGGGGTAGAGGAATCTTCTTGTATCAATATGGGATGGAAAACAGGGGAGAATTGACGACAAGGGAATAAATTGCCATGTCGTTTTTATTATTAAAACGTTAGCTGTGAGTGTGAATAGCAGACGAAGTAAACTGCCGCTACTGCAAGGAGTATTCCTATGTAATGTATGTTTTAGTTGAAAATACATATATTGATTGTTGTTAAACCACATTATTCAGTATCCTTACTATCTCGTGTGCAATGGCAAGTGGTTAAACTATTTTTAAAACGCAATAAACTAACTTTATAATGCAAAAATCTTCAACTATCACGCTGATTTTCAATCAAAAGTAAACAGGAAGTTGTCCATGCAAGGGAAATAACTCCGTATACACAAAAAGGAGGGTTATTTATAAAAATTAATTTTGATATGAATACAGCTATCTGGATTTATTTATTGGACCTAATTATATAATAAATATATCAAACTTAATAAAAAAGTACATTTTATGGCTGTATAACGTTCCCTTGTATTTGTTTTGGAACGAAAGTAACTTTCAACCCTTGTTTGTACCTCAAATATTTCATCGTATTCCGGAAAATGATAATATACAGAATCGTGAATATTTATATAATATCTATCAAAAGCAATCGGAACCTTCAGAGACTTAACAAGTAAATAAGAGGCCGTAATCGGAGGTCACCTGAAG